GATGACTTCGGCTTCACAGAAAGGAGGATGAACATCAAAGTGCCAAAAAGTCAAGAGGGAGGACAGAAGAGTGAAAGAGACAGACGAAAAAGTAAGTGATTCAAGATGTAAAGAGAATTTCAAAGATGTAAAAGAACAGACAAAAAAGTGAGTGATTCAAAGATGTAAAAGAGACAGGCACAAAGGCAGGGGGGGGAACAGAAGAGTGTTTCATAGATGTAAAAGAGAGAGACACAAAGGCAGAGTGTTACAGAAGGTGAGGTGAGTACTGTGAAAGTAGTCGAATATGACAAGGTAAGATGAGTACTGTGAAAGGGGTCAAATATGACAAATAGTCGAGGTAAGATGAGTACTGTGGAAGGGGTCGAATATGACATACGGTTGAGGTGAGTACTGTGAAAGTAGTCGAATATGACATACAATAAGGTGAGTACTGTGAAAGGGGTCGAATATGACATACAGTCTAGTCATGGTAGTTTGAAGTTAGAAGTCAACTGCCGGTTAATGGACTTTTTGCAGTATGAGTAAGCGTTGCCCAGGTGCACCACGTGGAGGTAAGTCTATTCCACACCCCACTTTAAATATACTATATTGACGATTTTGCTCTCTTCTATTCAACTTCTAGCGGTGATAATGGCAAGGCATGTTTCGGCAAATTCTATCACTTCCTCAAGTGCCAGAATACAAAATTAGGATCAATGAGGCGTAATTTTTCTGTTTAACGTGCAAAATTCGAGGGATTTAAGCCATAGGACCACAAAGTCTTTTTATTTTTTTGAGCAGTGTGGGGTTTCTTTAAAGAAAGAGTATACCGGTCAAAATGTCTACAGAAACGTACCTTTTTGATGCAAATATGTTACTCGCCTCATTGAAGGCTTCAGTCTTCATAAGTAATATTAAAAATTTGGTCAAATTTTTAAATTTTTATTTCAGCAAATTTCTATGTTAATCAATCAAACAGATTTTGATGCGTAGAACTTAATTCTTAATACTCCTTAAATATTACAAATAAAACCTTCAATGAAGAATGAAAAGTCGGTTTAAATCTTCATTTACCAAATTAATCAAAATAAATTTCACTTTTATTTGATTAGGCAGTTGAGAATTCTCTGCCATAATGAATGAATACGTCACACTTGTTAGACTATGTGAAATAACTTGAAAAGTAGAAGTGAAAGAATTTCAAGAAGATAAAACACATTTTAGCCAGTTCGATTGGCCTCCGCTATACTGAAGTCATCACTTTAGTCTCTTCGCTCCATCATGTAAAAGTGAAATTGTTTTGAAAAAAATTCTATCTCGTGGACAAGTATCTACAGGCATCACTTCATAACTTAAACCAGTGGAATACTTCAAAATTCTCCGAAAAAGAAGATCTTTGCCTCAAAATGGCGGTAGTTACAATTTAAATTAATGCGATCTTGTCGGTTAACTGAATAAATTTTTACCATTGAGCTTTGTTTTACTCACAAACCTTTCAGTCTTCGTCATAATTTAATCAGTAAACAGACACTTTACATAATTAGCTTATTAAACGTTATATAGCAATAGAAAAATATAAATCTACTGTGAAGACACAATCAGTAGTGGATAACCTGGTGAGTTAAAATCATGACCTAAATCAGGAAACTAGAGCATTATCGAAACTCATGAATATTTGCGCAAGAAGGAGGAAGATATGTGAAGAGTCTGGTGAATTTGAAATGCGAGGGAAGTAAGATTCAATTAAGTTAATCGCTTAATCATCCATATCACCGCTTCCCATTGGTCCCCAGTTCCTAGTGTGCTCATAACATGATTCAAAATTGAATCTTCCAAACTATGGTTTATTCCATATTTCAGCATAAACGTTGTTTAGGAGGTAATAAAAAAAGAAGTCGAAAATTAACCTCCAAGAATAATATAAGCAAATAGTTATTCATTTATTTCAAATGGCAGGCGTTTTGATAGATATCATTAGCCATTTAGATAACTTCGGGATTCACCGAGGGAAGGTTCATCAAAGTAGCAGAAAGTCGAGGGGTGGGGAACAGAAGAGCGATTCACAGATGTAAAAGAGGCCGACAGACACAAAGGTTGAGAAAAAGGTAAGGTGAGTACTGTGAAAGGGGTCGAATATGACAACCAGGGGGGTCGTGGTAGTTTGAAGTCAGAAGTCAAATGCCGGTTAATAGACCTTTTTGCCGTATGAGTATACGTTGCCCAGGGTGCACCACGTGGAGGTAAGTCTATCGCACACCCCATATAAGCAAATATCATGTACACTAAGGGAAGTTTTAACTGAACTGCTTGTGGGGCTGTTCTAATTGCATTAACTTGACTTCCCTAATCGCAAAATGGTGCTGTAAGATAGTTTGCACAAAAATTAATCATTGAAACAATAAATTTCCCTTCAATACGAAATATTCAAGGGCCATCAGAATGCTAATTTTATTAGAGCAATAATCGGTATATAATTCAATTTACTTAATTAACCATCTCGAATGTAATTCACCAAAATTGGGGGCGTTGATAGAGGCAAAATCGCATAACCTTATCCATTGAAACCAGTGTTGAACACTTTCTATTTGAGAAGATTCTTTTATAATATTTGAAGCACATTAATTTATTTATCATTCAATAGTTCTATATATGTCTGAAACAGGGGTGTGGGATAGACTTACCTCCACGTGATGTACCCTGGGCAACATATTTATACGTCAAAAAAGTCTATTAACTGGCAGTTGGCTTCTGACTTCAAACTACCATCACCTAACTCTCTGCCATATTCGTCTAGTTTCACAGTACTCACCTCACCTTTGTTCTACCTTTGTGTTTGCCTCTTACATCTTTGAAAAACTCTTCTGTTCCTTCCCCTAAGGAAGGACTAATGATAACCATCAAGACGCCTGGCATTTGATATAAATAAATAATGTGTGTGAAGCATTGAGCGCTTTCAAGTAGGTCTTCATGAATGAACAGCTTGCAAACTTGGAGCTTTCTGTTGCTAAGTTAAAAACTGCAAGAGATAAGTATTCCAGATGTTGCACTATTGTTTAAGTGCCTTCCACACCACACCACACCACTCCACTCCACTTCAATAAAATAATATTAGGGTCAACAAGTACAAACAGGAAACCCGTAGTACTGATCCGCGCAATTGGAATAGTCTCGTTTATTTCTCGCAAATCTCAAAGCCAATAAAATAGTCAAAAATTATTAATGACATGTTATTCCTTAACTATGCCTGTGCTTTCGAATAAGCTGCAAAGTGAATCTGATCACCAGATTGATAGGCAAAGTTTTAAAGATAATTATTTTACAAGATGTGGATGCAAGCAATCATTTTAATAATTTCATCTGCCACTGGTGAATTATTATACGGCAAATTTTCATTAAAAGGCCAAACCCGGTTCGTTGCCATAAAGCATGCCATCGTGACGGATAAAATGTTGAGACCGTATCTAATAAGACCAATCAATTATGAAGGTCATTTAAAGGATAAAAAGATTGGGATTGAATGGATCGTGATTTGACAGAGATGCAATTAATCAGGGATTGATATTGAACTTCCCTTTCGACATGACAGAAAATGGTCGATCAGACAACGTATCTGTTGATGATAGAAAGTTGGCATCGGCAAGTAGTGATCTTCATAGTTTTAACGTGTTATTCTTGTTCCGATTGATATTCCTGAGGGGATTATAATGTTTAAGAATTAAAAATTTTAGTGCGCAGTTAAAGCGGATAATGGATCTTTTAGGTGCCTCAATTTTTCAAGATCAATTGGCAAATTCGATGTGAACATTCCTATTATTATTACCCACTCTAGGTTTTAACACAGTGTTGCCCTTATTAAGGCGACAATACAACTTGAATAATGTAGGTGAGTAAGTATCAATTCCATCTAAATACTGGGCTACACTCGAAATTTACCAAAGTTATCCATTCATAATATCCATCTTTTGAGAGAAAGTGTCTTGAATCCCTCTAAAGGTGAATGACATTGAATAAAACCGTTCCATGCTCCAACACTTTTAATTACATAGACACCGATATTTCCCCTATCCACAGAAATTGAACAACAGTATGAGGTCCAAAATAGGTGTATCAGTAACTAAATACTGCTTGATAAAACGTGCTAAACAGACAAAGAGACACAGGAAAAAGCAGGTTCTTCAGACCTCATGACCTGGCGAGTGTCCACGATGACCAGTCAAGGTGAAACCAAGGGCTGCCGAAGTCTTCAAGAAGCCAATTCTCAATCGCATCCTTTCCGTTGAAGTGTAGAAAGTGCCTTTTGACGTCAACCTTTAGGCTCTAATAAACAATGCAGGAGGGCTTATCTTAGAATTCTGTTCTCACAAAGTCATTATACATTATACATGCTGTTTTACTTTCGAAAAATCAGCTTGACTTAATTCCCCCAACTTTTTACTTGTTTCGCTAGGTTCAATAGAGAGTCTGGAAAGTTGTAAGAATTCGTTGTTTGACGAATACGTCAAGGGGGTTATCGGCTTGACCTGACCTTCTGGGCTGGAATAGTCAAATAACACCAATTCCCAATTCAAATAAAGAATCCATTAGCCTTTCCGCATTACCGGCGAGGTACCTCTTCCATGTTTCTTTATGCAATTAGGACACAAACAAACTCAGATTATTCAGAAGAATTTTTAAAATATGGTTATAATAATAATAATAATTGTAAAAGGGTTTCGGAAAATATGCAGGCGATTGAGATTTCATTTGTGTTCGTGCCATCTAGGAATCAGAGAAGGGATTGAGAAGAAGTCCGGAAACTTCTTTTTCCTTTGAAAGAGAAAAGAGTCGTTATTTTTTTGCTTGAAAGTTGATAGGATAAGGACTGTAAGTTGCGTCCAATAAGAACTGAAAACAAAGAGGTGGGTATGAAAGCTGAGGAGGGTAATATTTACACTGGCGGATTGATTTGAGGCCCTTGTCGACGAAGAAGATCCTTATACTCTTCCTCTATCGTCTATTGATAGTTCAAAATTTTGAATTCACACAGCTTCGTAAGTGACATTTTCTGGTAGGTAGAGATTGTCCAATGATTGGTCCGTTTCATCAATGAATGGAATTACCTTTGAATCGTACCATGATTTATTCTCCACTTTACCTGTAATTAAAACAAAGCTGTTTGTTTGAATGTTAGACTATTTTTCCCATCAATTATGTTAATTAATGTTAAATCAAAGTCTCGTGCTTATTGAAATTATTGTGCTTTTTTTAGCAGACGATAAAGGTAAATGGGTTTCATAGCTCAATTTCGCTAAAATCATTGACTTACAAACGTTAAATGAACCTTTAAAGACAGAAAATCTTGACCACCACTCAACAAATTTGACATTGTGGAGTAAATAACCATAGCATAGTCAAACTGGGAAAGCTCTCATACACTCGAACGTTCTAGAACGCGTTGCCTTGAAGCTGAACCCATTGAGGAGCTGACGAGGTCAATCAATTGACCAATCAATAATCAATAGTTTTATAACAGGGGCAGCGTGCCCTAAACCTCAATTAATGAGTTAACTCTGTGCTAATGGCAGTATCTATCATGGATCATCATCTTCATAGTCATCAAAACCTCATTAAGGGTATTTCACACCATACTTTCCGATTCCCCGTTATTACTGAGGCAGGCCATAATAGTGGAATTTGAGGTAGAAATAGCAGGCCTTTAGCCACAGCTTATTCGCGCAGCATCCTCTACACGATGTAATAAAATGTTAAAAAAACCTACTTCTTGAAAAAAGTCACTACCTGCGCCTCGAAAATGGTACTTGAGGTCCAAATACAAAAGAATCTTATTATAACTATAATTAAAATTATGCAAAGTAGGCTTTAGAGATATCTAAAGATCAGGGGTGAGCGATAGGCTTATCTCCTCGTAGCAACGTATACTCACATAAACCGGCAGTTGACTTCTCACTTCAAGCTACCTTCACCCCACTGTATGTCATATTCCACCACCTTCACAGTACTCACCTTACCCTTTTCTCTACCTTTATGCCTGTCTGTCTGTTTCACATCTGTGAATCACTCCTCTGTTCTCCACCCCTCGACTTTCTGTAACTTTGATATTCCTTCCCTCTGTGAAGCCCGAGGTCAGCTAAAGGGCTAATAATAACTAAAAAACGCCTGCCATTTGATATATATGAATAAAATATCTAAAGATCATGTTTACTTTTTTCCTTCCACTCTTTAACTATTCAAAGAGTTATTTCCATATTTATCAGTGAAAAATATGTTGGGATTGAAATGAGAAACACCAGTTCGATCAACTTCTAAAGACCACATTTCTAAGAAAGCTCATTAAATTGAATGCGATAAGATTGAGAAAGAAATTTAGAGCATATTAATGAATTCAGGAATCGGTATTCACGAGAGCAGAGCTCAACAATCATAATTTTGCGATTTGAAGCCTGAGAAACTATTCTTTAACCATTCTAAGAAAATTAGTTAACTTTCTGCCGAAAAGCCTGATGTCCAATAATACACTGTAAATAATTTATTAAAGACATTGAGATTTGTTATCTGACAATTATTTTAAGCAAAAAAGGCGCTACGATTATAAAAGGTGTCATTTTAAACTCGACCTATCTTTACCCACCTCCTCAATTTAGTCTCATATCAAATTACTTAACAGCACTACTCTCAATTCCTGATTTCCATATTTACCTTGTTCCTGCCTAATGGACATCACAATGTGTTGACTTCATTTTTCAAGAAGATATCCGAATCTGGTTCGAAATATTACTAAAAATCTCTGTGTTCATGCAAAAAAGATGGGACTCACGTGTGGGATGAGCTCGAACGCCGCTCTGCAGAAGGGAGCCATTTTCATTCGCTGGAACAATAAGTACATCCTCTTCATCCGCTTGGATCTCCTGTTTCTTGGCTTTCTTGCAGCAGGTCGTTGTTTTCTTCTTCTTCTTCTTACCCTCTGCAGCTGTCGAAAGTTCTGCACCACTTCGACCCTCCTCCAGGTTGTCTTCTAGGGCCTTTTCTCTTGCCTTGGCTTTCTACAAATGAGATGGGATTGAATCTAATTGTCAAGCCTCCCCTAAGGCATTATGTCACTATTTTTTATTGGAGTCATAGTAGAAAACGGGTCCTGCTTTTATTGAAACTTTAGCAGGTAAAAATGAAAGGATGCACATCTGTTGATAGTACAATGGCACTTTTGAAAGTTACTAAGTTAATGAGAGTGATTGCTAAAGATCACGTCACGTTTTGGTACAAAATCGGATATTTGAATGGGTTTTTGTAGGGTCGATTGTTAGTGGGCCCATTGAAATAAGCAAGCACATCATTTTTAACTTTCAGTAATGCTTGATTGCATACTCATACACTTCTGGTTCACGCTTTATCAGTTAAGAGTCTGTTGTTGTGATATCTCAATCAGCGATGGGAATTACTTGATGAATAACTGCTTAGTTGCTCGTCTGAAAATTTTCATTATGATGTGTACTTTCGTTATTAACTTAAACAGAGGTTCATTTGAAAGTCAAAGAGGATTAATTGTAACATTTAAAACAGTGGGAAAGTAAATGTGGTCAAAGTGTCAGCCACTTTTCGACAGTGTCTATAAAATAGTGAGGAATTTACCATAAATGCTAACAGTGCATGAGAGTTGATGTACCTCTTTATGTCAAAATCCTGCGACTCAGACTTCAATGAAAGAACTCTCTTGTAGGCAAGCAACAGCGCTAACGTCTCTGCAATGCTTCGGATGGGTAGTGATTGTGACGATAGTGAGAATTAACAGCCTCAAAAAGACAAAATACTCCTTAGTGCGAATGAAGCAAAAAATCCTGACAGAGGGGCATCAGGTGACAACTAATCAAAAGCTCAAAAATCTCCATCTTTGACGGTACGAGAGTGGGAGGAAGAATGTAGCTATTCAGTCAAACTTAGTGATTCCTTGGCGAGAATGAAATAGTCAAGAATAAACAACACCAATCAAAGCTGCCAGAGAATTTTAGAGAAGATCATCTCCCACGGAGCTCCCACTTTCTCTATTCACTGTACTAAAAATTACAATCTGCGTGAACCCATCAAATCCTTTCTCCTTTTATCATCACTGAATTTACGCTCCCTTTATATATTAAGTTAAATTGCAAGAATTTACGTTACTACACGATCGCGGTTTTAACATCGCTTCCCGATTATTGAATTATTATTTGCTCATAGTATTAATGATTAATAAGAAAAAGCTGTAAAATGTCAAAGGCGACGCACGTATAAATTCATTTTTCCTTCAGACTTTATTTACGGCAATTATATACCCCGACTTTGATGTGCTTACGTCACAACTTCGACCTAATTAGTTGTTTGACAAATGGTTGCTGGAACCATTTCCTCTATTAGCCCATTCTGTTCGGCTAAAACATTTCTATTTCACTAATAAAAAGGCTACCATTGGCTTATCACAGAGCAAATAAGCAAATAAGAGCTTTAAATGAGTCCAGGAAACGAATATTAAAAATTTAAATTGTAAAGCGTGAGTTCTTGGTCTAGTAAATAGTGAAAAACCCGAAACGGAACGGAAATTGAAGCCGAAACCTTCGAATGGTTGACTTTGCTCCAAGAATCATCTTGATCACCTCTTTCTCATAATTGATTTCATTTTGATTTTTCCACAATAAAAAAAACGTGAAAAAATATCACAATAGGGTGTTAGTGAGAAGGTATTTTACTTAAATATTGAAATGAGCTCTAATGAAGTGCAGAGGTAAAAATTCATTTCAATGAGTTAATGAGTAAAGCAAAGGCGATAATTGCGGACTGAAATCAATAATCAATTAAATCAATTGACCATTTTTTTTGTTATACCATGATGAATGCAAAATTTAAAATACAATTAAGCTAACCTTCGCGATCCGATTGGCTTTCTTCTGTTGGAACAATTGAACTAGCCGAATGATTATAAGAATGATGAGGATCACAGAGAGAATGACTGAAAGCACGATTGGAAGCGTTGATTCGTACTTGAAATAAAATCGAAAAGAGTGACGTTTATTACATATATACATATATATAAAGATAAATATAAAACGACTCAATAGGCAAAAGGTTTTTTAAAGCAGTTTTTACTTGAAAAAAAACTGTACACATTTTAGGGTATCCCAATTACCCTCTTAAAAGATGTGAAGAGGACACAAAAATAGACAACCAGTGAAGAAAATATTTTTTACAAAATTCATATCTATCACTTTTTCGAGCAATTAGTTAATCTAATACAAATACGCTGAATACTCTTTTAATAAATAATATGTTAGATGTAAATGTCTTATAAAGTTATTTTATATTCACAAAAATCCTGTGATAGATACTACCATTTTACAGGCATGCATTAATCAACATAAATGGAGATATTGCACAAATCGGAAACCCCCGTTTCCTCTCCAATGAAATATATATGCGCGTTTTAACCCCACTATCACCTTATCAACATCTCTTTTCTAGTGGGTTCTTTTGTTAACAACTTCGCTAGAGTATTTTTTTCGGATGTTTAAATTTAAAGCAAATAAAAACACAAACAATTTGTGGAAGTAAAATTTAGGATCTCATGCCTAAACAACTAAAAGCACCTCAATTCTTTGCACAAAATGGCAAAAAAGTGCATAAACAATCAAATACCCTAATGTTTTCTTTGCAATCTTTGTTTTTTGAGAAATTTTCAAACATCCATGTACTTGTGGTTCCCGTTTTCCTTAAATTCAGGAATTGCAGTAAATATTATGAGGAAATTTGTTGGTAATTATTTGACGAGATTCTCCGCTAAAATACCGGACGATTGCATTAATAGTTGAACTTCTTTACTTCATTGAAAGACATTAATGAAAAAATCTATTGACGAAAAAGCGTCATTTTGCAATGAAAATGATTTGATTTAAATCAGACCTCTAATATTTAACCATAATGAGTATTCAAATTACCTGTTCTCATTTAAATTAAGTGATTGCTTAATTTAAATTTCTTTTTAGAACCAGGGCAACGGAATGGGGTTTTAAAAATCAGTCAATTTGAAAAGACCACTATTCATTAATGAAAATAGTAGATTTCTGATTTTTCAACACTGTTTATCTAGGTTAAATTCCTTACAATTACTTTAATTTAACACTAACTAAAAAAAATAATGTTTTTTTTTAGAATTCGCTGTTATTTGCCGATAATTTTAAATACAGACAATACGCCTACTTGTCATAATTCTATTGTCTATGGGCCCAAAAATGTGGGCTTTAGATTTAAGGATGGTTAACGCAATTACCCAAATGATCTAAAAAATTTAAAATAAGATGTATTATTCATGTTCTTTTTGGGGTTGACACTTTGGCGAAATAGATTTTAATTTCAATTACAAACATCAATAACCAAGAATCCAATCAATGAAAGTGGAGAAAGGTATGCATAAGTAGAATTTTTCAATGTGATCGTCGATTTCAATCAGAAAACTACGTGAAAATGTATTATTCATCAAGTTAGATTAAACAGCAATGGGAAACAATTTCAAAAAAATTTAATAAAATTCTGACTCGAGATAATCAAAATTGATCTCATATCCATAGAACAATTGTACGCAGGAAAATGAATAAGTATTTAGCATTGTGTCAAACAATAATAGCATAGTCTTGAATAAATACATAACGAACACCAATAATGGACAATTTAATGTGTAGTTTAGACAATTGATAAACCATCAGTTTAGTTGCCGGGTATTTCATGAACTACAAAACAATGCGCCTAAATACGTATTTAATTATTTAGTTAAAGACTGATCTTAGCTTTGGAATACATAAATGCAGAAATCATAGCATAAAATCAATCAAACTTTGAATGCATTGATTTTTTATGCATTTGACTTTCAGAAACTGATATTTTTAGAATTCCAAAATTAAATCCCGAATCTATAATTAGAATAGGTACATTCAAGTCTCAATGGACTCTCATTTGTGAGTCAAGGTCTTAATAAGTTTGATTTAATTATAATTTTTTTCAACAGAATTACGTGTACATCTTATATTAATATCAAGTGTTCGCAATTATTGTAATTTAAATGACCTCAGATCGCACGGTTACTTGTCAAATTCTCATTGCGTTTATTCCATCCATTTCACACATTGAATCGAAAATAGGCTGCCCATTTTGGCAATTTTCTGTTTTAAATTATCGATTATCTGTCATGGTACCTAAGACAGCGAACAGTTAAAAGCTTTTCAAGGGGTTTCCAGTTTAGGAATTTTATTGGAAATGACATCATCATATTATTGATTTTGTTGATTGCATTAATTCACCTTCAAAATAATCATAAATTCCAGAACAAGGAGGTGGCACATATATGCCGTAAAGGCGGGACTTTACTCGATAATCTACTTGTCAATAATTTCTCACGGATCAAATTTATTTATTTTTACCCAAGAAAACTTTCACAAAACAAAAACTGTCGTAAGCACAACTAAAACTAGACTCAAAGTTTCCATCTCTCTAAAATTCTGGAGTTTCTAACTGAGAGAGAGAGAGAGATCTAAAACGCAGTTGAGTGACCTTAGTTGACCCAAAATGTACATACGTAAATGTGAATTCATGACCTTACTCAAACATTGGTTTCTCAATGCTAAAATTCAACATACTCCTCCTCCTCCTCCTCTTCCTTGGCGCCCCCACTAAGAAACGTCCATTTTAAACAAGTAAGAAACTTGTGCGAACAGGATTAGATATGAATATGCGTGCATAACTACGTAGATGGTTATTGAAATTAGAATGATCCGAAATGATACGTTTTTTGGCATTGCACATCTCTCTCTCTCTCAATCAGTTCATTAATTTTAAAACCACGCATTTGAGAGTGTTCCTTCTTTGGCTGCCAATTCGAATTGAAAATACATCAATCTTGCCGGCATATAATCCACACACACACACACACACACACACACACACACACACACACATATATATATATATATATATATACTTGCTCAATTATATAGCATTTAAACTACACGATAAATTCTGTAGAAAGCCAAATTCGTTGATTTAGGTTAAGCTGTAGTTTCGGGAGAAGTCGATGCATGTTGGTAGAAGTGATCATAGTTGGCCATTATATTACAGCAGGATTCGTTTCTCTTCAATGCTGAATTCGACAACAAATATATTTTTATGGGTTAGAATTCACCCCCACGATTATCACATTATTTCATCTATTTTGCGTTCGGTGATTGGCCAGCTAGCCTTTAATGAAAGATTTATCAAATGACATCTGAAGTGCTATACAAAGGGGACTTTGGTACTTTTGTTTCACTTTATTTAGAAGAAAAGGAATTTAAATAAATATATATATATATATACCTTCTAAAAGTTTTACTCAAAATTTCATCTGAAAAATTTGTCAAATCTGGATTGACACCCACTCACCATATCTCAACTTAGACAGAACAATTTCGACACAAGGAAATGCATTTTAATATTAAGTGAAATAAACGAGTGCATTGCAAATTCGTCAGAAATATGTAAAATAGAATTATATGCTCAGAATAAATTCTGTGCAAAATTGGGTGAAAAAAACGATCTTTTTTTCGCTTATCGCTCAAACCAAGATGTGAATGCTAATGTTATCTGATACGAGAGAAGGTGAACTGAAATTCCAAGTCTTTCACATGGAAAAATGAATCTCGCAATTAAATATTCAAACTCTACGATTTGTGGCACTGTTAAATTGAAATAAGCCATCACTAGTTGGCCAGCAAAATATTTAAATTATAATCGCTACCAAATTAGGCGAATTCTCGGCGACACAATATAGTGAATGATTTTATCCTCGAAACTTAAAATTAGTGTAGATTAAGACAGTTGTATTGTCAGTCCACATCACGGTATACGCTTCAAATACATATTTATTAAGTTTCATGGTATAAAGAGGATGTTAATCACAAAATAAAAATTATCATACAAATTTCTTTTTATTAAATTATGATGGCTCTGCAGGCTAAAAATAAATATATATTTTTTCTCTATTAAGTAACCGCTAAAATGTGATCAACGCTTGAGGAATTCGCATTAAGAGATCTAAAAGTATAAATTTTTTGCCGGGAAAAAGGCTTGATTTGTTTAAATGTTTAATGAACGGTAATGAAGGCGCGTTACATGTTTAATTATCAT